GCGAATCGAGGAATGGTCGCTAGTCAATAACAATAATACAATTTTGTAAAAAAGCAGTGTGGATACACCTTTATATCAGCAAATAGCAGCTCACAGGTGGTTAATGGGTACAGTTTAATTATTAATTAATTTATAGCATAAATATTGGCTGTATTGTCGTTTTTAAGTCTTTAGAATTATGAAGACTTTACATACACACAATACTTTCTGGGTGGTCCAGTGTCTAGCATGCGCGGCTGAAGATTCAGAGCACCTGGGTTCGAGTCCCGAATCGGGGAATTTTCTTCTCTAATCCTGAGTAGCAACTTAGGGTTAGGAAGTTGTTTTTACAATTCCTTGGCTCAGAGGGCATGCAAAGCCGTCGGTCCTCAGCCTGATCTTTCACCAGTCGTGTCGAATTTTCGTTCTACCAGACTTTGAGAATAAAACGAACAGTGCATACTATAATATCTCCACATAGGTTAAACTCAATGATGATTTTATATTATCTACATGTATATAAATATAATTAGACAAAGACAAACCGTTCAGTAAATTTTAATCCTCTGTTTAACAAGCGATTTTCTTTTTTCTCGTTTAGTTTACGAGGATTTAAAAGGTATTGGAAACATATTTTTTTTATATAGATAGGCAAGTCTTATTCATATGTTTTGCTCAAATTTCCAGTAATAATTATGATCATATTTTGGATCACGGGGTGAACGCTAGTTTCATACATTATTTTTGTTCAAAGAATTTGATTTGCGATTCAGGAGGAAAGCTGTTCCCGGCAAGAATGTGCCACAAAAATGTATTCGTTTTCAACCGACTTCAAAAAGGAGGAGGTTCTCAATTCGACTGTATATTTTTTTTTATGTTTGTTACCTCAGAACTCCGTCATTTATTAACCGATTTGGACAATTTTTGTTTTGTTTGAAAGGGTATACTTCCAGATTGGTCCCATTTAAATTTAAAAAAAAATACCACCCCTAAGGGTCTTCAAAATTACTACTTCAAAATTATGTATATTAGTAATTATCCTAATTTTAGGGGTATAGTACATTTTTAAAAAGTTATGTTACGTTATGATCATCTAATCTCATAGAAAATAAATAAAAACTTTCTACAATAACCCATAAAAAATTAGACGAATTGTGAACTTTCCTTTTGAAGTCACCTAATATACACAATAGTTTTAGTTTAATAACAGTTTTCTTACAAGTTTAGAAACAAAACATAAATTAATTTATCCAAAATGAATAAACAACGTACTCGTACATACATTCAGTCGTAGTCACTCCAATTGTTCTCTCGTCCTTCTCTAACTCACAGTGAGTGAGCGAGACGATGTGATTTAATGGATACGTACGTCACATGTTACTAACGACGGCTTAATTTGAAGATATTAAGGGGTAGTTGAGTATTTTATATAATTTAAATAACATATTGATTTAAAATAATTGAATTTGATTAAATTGGACTTTGAAAAACATGGGTTAACCAAGTCCATATAACACTTATACGCACACGCATACGCTAACGCACACGCAAACGCACACGCACACGCACACGGACACGCACACGCACACGCACACGTACCAGCACACGCACCCGCACACGCACCCGCACACGCACACGCACATTTATATTATTATTAGCTTTTTACAGTGTAAAGATATGTACACAGGTATAACAAAACTAGATTATACTGTTAGTTTAGAAGTTAGGTTAGAAGTAATTATTTTGTTAAGTTTTTTGTGTTACATTTTATTGAAGAAATGTAAAGGATAAAGATAAGTTTTTATCCCGGAAAGATAAAATCTTCCGACAAGATAGTTTAAAATCTATTTTTAAAGTAACCTTCATCCCTACAATGTAGTCGTTTCCACAGGATAGGAATTGTATTTTTTTATTAACTTTGCTTGTATTGGATGTATCTTAAGCCCATAGCGTCGATTTCTCACGAAGTTGGATTTCCATAATTCCAATATCGAAGACTAAAGAGAGATGAGTCGATATATTAATATTACAACGCAGCTTTAGAAAGCACTTGCCCTTAACACACTTGAAATTCATTATATTATTGTGTTGTATTGTGATTGTACCTTATTACTAAACTTCTGGCATCGAACCCACTTCCCGTAAAATATATCGATTTCTTCAATATTATTTATTGTTGACTAGCTTAGGATCACAAAATAACATCATTTCAATGATGGTAGTTAAATTTAAACCTAACTAACAATCGAAGTAACTAATATACATATGCATATGATGTATACATTAAAAACAAATTAAGTACGTTTGTATATTCAGAACATAATAATGGATTTTGCACCCGAAAACGGTTTTTGTCTTAGAATGCTTACATAGACCATTTGTGATTTCAACATCATCAGTCCTTTTGACATAGGTGCATTTTTTTCGATACGTCTTAAATAATTTCTTTTGGAAGTTTTATTTGTATGATACATGGATATTATGTTCATGAAAAAATGAAGTGGGCATAGTACAATCAAGTGCCCTACATCATGCACCATGCGTGGGCGAAGTGGTTGCTTACTTTGTTTAATCACACTACTTATAATTTCGAAAGTTAGTATGTGTGTATGTTTGTTACTCCACGCTGAAACCGCTGGACATATTTGGATGAAATTAAGTGTACAGACAGGTAGGCTATTAGGTACCTAGGGAGCTAATCGAGAATAAGTTGATAATATCAAATATATTTAGAATTTTAGTGTTCATTTTACACCCTATAATGAGCTTTGAAGATTCACTGACCACTTAGCGGGATAGGTAAACAGGTGACTTAATCGAGAAAGTTGAAATTACATAAATATCCCACTCTAATAGGACGTTAAGAGTATACACATAGTGCATAAGCGGCAGCGTTTCTGTGTTCAAAATGGCGTTTTAGAAATACATTTACTCTGTGGATGTGTGAATGTTTGTTACTCATTCACTCGTTAACTGTTTAACAGATTTGGTTGAAACTTTGCACAAATATAAAATATACCGTGAAGTAAAATATGGGATACTTCTGAAGTTAAACGGGAAATAGATTTCCGTGAGATGAGAATTACGAAACGGAATTTGATAACTTTGTTATTGAGAGGAATATTAATTAAAAATTGCAAACATATCATAGATTAAAAACGTAGCCGTTGTCGTGTAGGATAACTCTTAACCATATTTTCACGTTTTAGTCGCACATTAATCACCGAGAATATAGACCGTGACAGATATACGAACGAGTACTTCTATATATAAGAATTCAAGTTTTTTTTTCTAGAATATACAAAATGCTGAAACATATTTTTTTCAAAACCGCTCCCTTCCTTACAATGTATCAGACCCCGGTCTTAAAGACCCTCGCATTTTCTATATTAACCCTTCACAATAAATATGTCCAACGTTATTTAAAAGTTAGCAGGTGTGTTCCGACGCGAGTTATGCCGTCGTTTAGTGTTAAATAATGTTTTAATTTCAAACTGGTCGGTTTATTATGGATTTTTAGTAAGAATTTCTTAAGTTTCATACATTTTGAAGCATTTTTTCATATAGGTATACTATAAATAAATAAAATTGAAGTGTCTGTTTGTAATGTCAAAATAACAGCTTTTTACTTAATGCATATGAAAGTATATACGGACGGTACTTATGAAAGAAAAAACAATTTTTAAAATTATTGTCTGTCTGTTTGTTCCGACTAATCTCCGAAACAGCCGGACCATTTTTGGCGAGACTTCCACTGGCAGATAATTGATGTTATAATGAGTAACTTAGGCTACTTTTATTTGAGAAAAGAATTAGAGTTCCGCGCGAAAAAATACATCCCATGAAATAGTAAGCAACGAGCGAAGCGAGGGTAAGTCGCTAATGGGTCATATTAATAATAATTGTCACCTATGAATATAAGAAGTGTTTATTGCAGTTTTTGTTTTTGTGTATGGAAATGTATGTGTATTTAAGGATTTTCTTTGTTTAAGAAAGTTTTTCAATATATTTTTTACAGTTTTGTGAGTTAAAGGAACCTTTAAAATATATCCTAGAAAAAGATATTTATTAATTAGTTAAGAAACATGCTTTCTTTTTTGTATATATGTACATATACATATTCTAGCGGCTCACTCTCGCTTTGCTCGTGTTGGTTCCTAGGTTAGGTTACAATGTGTTTTTTCTTGGAAATGAAATAATCTCCCGCGGTAAAAAGTAGCCTTTGTCATTCTCCAGCCCTCCAACTATTAAAATCAGACCAATCCGTCGCACTGTTCCAACGTGAAAAAAGGACAAACAAACAAACGTAATTTCACATTTATAATATTTGTATGGAAGTATGGATACCTATTACCTAGGTATATGTAATATAATTTAAAGATAAACGAAAGTTCTTTATTTTTATGAACTTCATAACAGGTGATTATATTAAAATTACAAAGTGATACTTTAAATTTTATTGATAAGAGAAAGATTCGCTAACCTTGTGACACGCTCAGGTGGTCTAATAACAACCTAAGCTGAGCTATAAGTGTCCTTGAATACCTTTGCATTATCAAAAAAGCTAGGCATTTATAAGAATTCGGCATGACAGTAGTCATTTTTAAAACTGCCTTAAGAGTTAGGGATCTTGAATGTTTATATTATATAAACAACATATTATGCATACCAAGACATTGTTCGTCGAAAAACAATGTTTTGAAATTTTGATGTGTAGTGAAAATATTAGCGGTGTTCCCAATTTTTACGTTAAATAGGTCAACTTCTTTAGAGGATGGATTTTCAATAGTCCTTCCTTAGTGTTCTTAGTCTAGTTCTTATGTAAGAAACTGTAAAATGTCATAAGGTGTGCATTGCCCGTTAGTGAGTCAGTGTTTAAGCGGTTTACCTCCTTTAAATTTTACCGAATTGTTTCTAGTATACAATTTGCCGAATAAATGAATCGGTTTTTTTATATAGTATTGTATATCGCCTATTATTTCGATATTTACATAAGGTAATAATTGTTTTTCTATTTCTAGAACATTTTAGATGACCTAGAAAGTGGACTCAGTGGAGATTTAGCTCATATTTTAGAAAAGGAAAAAAATTCAGAAGGTCAAAACAGTGAGCGACTGAGAGGTTAATATTTTCTTTATTGTGTTAAATATTATTATTATTATTATTATTTTTAATTTATAGTTTTTAAAAGGCTTAGATGCTAATATTTTTAATAAGTATGATTCATGATATACGAACATTTTTATTTATATGTATGTATTTATGTATAAATCTTATGATTGAAGTTTACTTGCAGATTTTTTTAAAAAGCTCATTCAAACTGACTCTCAAATAAGAAAACTAAAACAAGCCATTAATTACAATTATCCAAACGACAAAACCTTTACAGAGAGATACAAGCGAGACCTAAAAAATACAGAAAGAGAAGGCATTCACACTCCTTCAAAACCACAGATTAATATAGATGCTAAACAAAAAAGATCTCCAAAACCTAACAATATAACAGGTTTCATTATTAGAAAAGAGAAAATATTGATAAAATATGAACCAGATAAGCCGAATTTTCCAAAATGGTCACATAATCATGAACTAAAATCTCACGAAAAGAAATTGAAACAATCTTTTCATAAAAACAATCAAATGACCATTAAACAAAAATCTGATAAAAATGCGTTTAATAAAGTGCTAAGAGCTGAAGAAAATATAGGAAAAGCTAAAATAAAAGCAAATGATGTCAAGAAAGAATTCACTATGCTTGATTATAAAGTGTACGCTGATAATGCTAATAGCAAGCTAGAAACTAAATTAGAGACAGCTACAAATGATAATATTAATGAAATGAGAAACTTAGATTATGATATGAATCATTTGCTATCGACCACTCCAATGTATGACGTTACACTATCTGTGTCGACATTTATGTATGTATATGATATATATAAAATATATTAACATTAAGACCATCTAGTTCAATGCTGCGTGATTGATGAAAGTCTTAACAATTTTTGAATTTAGTTACTGGTTAATTTAGGACTACCTGGGCGACCGAGCTTCGCTCGGAGTTTTTGGCCAAAAGTACAATTTTCTTTTTTTTAAACTAATAACTTGAATAAATACTTAAAAAACTTTGTATACGACTGGGATTCGAACCCGGACACCTATGATAATCAACCTTGGCCGCTTGACCACAATGCTTATGCCCGAGGATACGAAATTAGCGACCATATTTTGCGTGAGTAAGAAAACCGCATGAAAACTCAAAAACACGCGTTTTCCCAGACATAAGACAAATCGTTTAAAGATATAAGATAAGATATTTGATACTATAAATATCTTATCTTATAGTTACAAAATATAAGGCAACAACTATATTTAAAAATAAATAAGTATAGGTATACGTAGAGCATCTCTACAATTATTGCATTATATTAAAATAAAATCATAATAATTTTAAGGTATAGGGTATATGCTATTTAAAGACAACAGATGTTAAATAAAGATGAAGCTATGTAACGTTTTCATTTAAATTTGTTATGTTTTTTATTTTATTTATTTATTTATTTTTATTTATTTATCAATTTTTACGCCAATTATATTTTACTTTATTTTATCGAGTATAACAGTTCACATTTTTCAGAAATCCTTTAAACACGCCTGAGTCTAAACCAAGTAAGCCAGAATGTCGTCCTGGATATCGTCAGCTAATGCAAATTGATGAAGAGAAAGAAGAAATAAGCTACGAGGATTTAAAGGAAGTGCTTAATGATGATCAACACGATCGTGACGATTCAGATAGACAAGTGGAACGAAAGAAGCGTGATAATGTAATCTATTTTAGCATATAAGTTTATTATTTGGTATATATTTATATCTATATTCCTTCATTCAATTCAATCTAGATATCGAGATATTACTAGGTTAGAAATTAAACTATCTTTGCGCATTCATCATTTTCTCGAAGATAATCACGGGGGGCATAAATGATAATGATTTATTTATAATGTCAAATATTCGCATAAATCTAAGATGGTATAGATGGTTGGTACTCAGTTACAACTTTTAACATTTCCAGAAATATTTCATATTATAACTCTTTGTGCAAGAATTTATAATGCAACCTTATAAATTTAGTTCATTAAACATCTACAATAGCTGTATTTTTTTATAAAATTGTGATAAATATGAAAAAATAAATTGTATGTTAAAAATATATCGTTATTAAATAGGAACAAGGACTGGATATCTTAAAATATCAAAATCCGTACAGTACCGGCAATCCGAGTAATAAACATAATCCTAATTGGAAAGGACCAATGCCATTGTATCCAGATGAATTAAATGCTATGATTAAGCAGGCAGCTTTACAAAACGTAAACATGCAAGTTCCAGTCAACACAAAAGATACTAAAGTAGAAAAAGATAGAGATGAAAAAGAAATCAGTGATACAGATTATATAGAAGATTATGTTGATAATAAATATAATAAAATGGTGAAAATGGCTCAAGCGTATAGTGATTATGGGGTTGTCTATGGAAAAAATGATAATAATAATAACATAAAAGATAAAAGTAATGGACCAGATCAAAAATTTAAATTTTTATTTGATAAACAGAAACTTGTTAATAGGTTTTTTAGAAAACCAGATAAAGGTATAGTAGTGATAAATTATAATGTTTAATAGGGTTTTCCTTCGTTTATGTTTATAGGGTTATGATGGATAATATGTAAATAATATATAGGTTTTTTTTTTCGAATTTATTAATTGTTACTTCACATATTTATTTCAGTTATATCTCAATTAGATTTGTAGTAGACTAGCGACTTACCCTTACTTCGCCTTAATGAGTCCCTAGGTACGTTTTAACGGTTAGTATAGAATCATCCCAATTAACCTCGATTGCTCAAAAATTTCGAAACATTCTTCATGGACGACAATTTCACGAAAAGTGTAGGATACAAAGAATTTTTATGTTCTTAACTTGAGAAATGATTGGTTCCCCATTTAAACTTTCAAACCCAATTTTACCACTTACAAGTTTTATTTTCTCCACAAAAAGTAGCCTTCAAGGAGTATAAATCTATCTCTATACCAAATTGCATAAAATATTTTTCAGAAAAATGAAATGAAAATTACCAAGCAAATAAACAGAGTTACTTTCATTAATATAGGTTCTCAAAACTATGACGATCATTAATAAGTTACTAAATGAAATAAGTACAAATCAAAAACATATAATATTAATCAATATTTTTTTCTACAGTTACGTTAAAAGACGTTAATAAATATGAAACCGTATCAGACGAAGCACCTGAAGAGCAACTATTCATAAAAGGATTAGGAAAACATGTAAAAATATTAAGAAAACCAAATCGATACCAAAACACGTTGCATTTTAACAATCTTGAGAATAAACAAGTGTATACTCCTAACCACATAAGTTTACCTAAGGATATCAATACTCATACGATGACTTCAGATAAGAACGATGCAAATGACTACAATTTAAAAAGAGTTTTAAGATCTCTCAAATCAATAGAAATAGATGGAAAATCTAATGTTACTCCTATTAATAGTATCGATAATAATTCTAAATCGAATCTAACTAGTGGTATAGTGGATTTTTTGTCCTTGATGTCAGATTGGTTCAGCACTTTGGCTGGTTTGTCGGGAGAAAAAGAAATAGATTCTTTAAAAAATGTTATTGAAAATGGAAGTCATGCATTGTAAGTAAATTCATTTTTTTTAATAAAACTGCAACACAGAGACCAGCTGAATAGAAAAAATTGATTACGTTTTTTATTATTCAGGTATTTGAGTAAAAACGCCCATATATACACACATACACGAATACAAAAACACACGGTCAAAGCCACACTATAGTATAATTTTCCATTTATTTAACATATTTACTAGTGACTCACCCTAGCATAGCTAGTAGCTACAGCAAATTTTTTTTTGAAATTATAATTTTTTAATTTTATAAATTACTGCTAATTCTTTATTCATAAAATCTTTATCTTAGTTTTAGATCGAACGCAACTGGTATAATAAGAAACCGCACCTTAAAAGATATAGATTTCTCATATCCTTCTTATGATTTTGATATGGTAAATAATATAAATCATAAATCAAGAGTTTTAATGTCAGTAAAAGATAATAACGAATTTAATAAAAATTCTGTGAAAAACATTAATGCTAGTATTAGTGATGCAGAAAAAGTAAATTCGACAGGTATCATATTTTTTTCTAGAAAGCAACATTAGTTATCTAGACACTAGAAATCAACAATAATATAATGAAACTTCAACGCAGTCAAAATGTTATATTGTACAAAAAAAATGTATTTAGTATATTATACATAAATATAATTAGAGAAAACAGAAACTGTAAAAGCAAAATTTAAATTAATCGAGAATGACTGGATGTACTTCAGTGCTATTTTAATGTACGGTTAATAATGAATTAAAAATATAAATAAATGACAATTCATTTCAACCGGTTTATATCACTCCATGAAATATTCTTTGGCAATGACAGCGGCACACGGTTGTTGTCTGGCTAGCATTGCCTGAATCGCGAGTTTAGTTCAGTTCATAATTCAGATTTTTTTCAGACTTTGATTACTCAATGACACTAGCTTTAGTTTTAGCAGAAAATATGAGAAATTTACCTAAAGAAAATAAGTCTATAACAGTAAAAATAGAAAGTGATGATGAAAATAAAACTATAGTCAAAAGAAGTCCTGATAATAAAGTATTTTGGAACGATTTATATGACAGCGACGAGTATGGTGTGCGAATGGACTATTTAGATGGTGCTAGAAATAAACACTCGATAAATAAAAACGTCATACAAAAATCCAAAGACTGGCTCAAAAAAAAATTAAATAATATGAATGGTAAGATAAAAGATAAATTTAGAAAGGACAAAGGTGTACCTAATAAGATAAAAACAACGAAATGTAATGAATGTACTCGTAAAACTACCAAAAAGCGTCCTGTGAGACAGTCTGATAACGTAAGTAATCTTTTCATACAGATTAAAAATATGCAAAGTGCACATTTGGCTAACATTAATGGTTATGTAGTACTTGTCAATATAATATTACAATATTTTCAACCCTCTTTTACTAACTGGTCGGTCGGTGGTGGTGAAAATTATTAAAAGTTTGTAGAAAACATATATGTATTAAATTTACATAATATATAAAAAAAACTAAATTTTTCCATTTTTTTATCGATAAAACCAAAGCTTATCAATATCTAATAAGCAAAAAAAAGACAATCAATTGACAAACAGAGGAGTAGAAGGTACGAAACTCTAATTTTGAGTACTTGTCGTTGCTTATTTACTCGAATATATTTATTAGATATATTCCAGATGAGATATTTTCCCGCAGTAGAAAGTATCCTATATATTGACCCGGATAACCAGCTATCATCATACCAAATTTCATCAAAATCCCTCCAGTGGTTTTTCCGTGATACGGTAACAGACAGATAGACAGAGAGACAAAAATTCTAAAAAGTATATATTCGGCCTCCGTATCGATAGTAATGTCTATTTCAATAAGATTTTCCAAAAAATATTTTATGTACAGATTCGGCTCAGTTAGAATTTTATTATATTTAAAGATTATTATATGTATAGAAGTAATATTTAAGTAAGTGTACCAAAATATTTATTTACTCTAGGAAAACATAAAACAAATCTATCCCACGGGAACCGTATATTTTTACGGGATAAAAAGTACGCCTATGTGTTATTCCAGACTATAATCTATCTCTGTACAAATTTCATCCAGATCCGTTTAGCCATTCTGGCGTGAATGAGTAACAAGCATCCATACTCACACATTTCTAACATTTATAATATTAAATACGGATTTATTCACATATAATTGCATTAAGTTAAAGTACATTAATTATAATCCACCTTCTTTATTTTTCTAGTTTCGTTTTTAATCATCTCTTAGAAAACGGAAGTACTTGCTTTTATTTTTGTCTAAACGCACATGATTTGAAACCAGTCTGATTTGAAAAATCTTTATCTAGGTATATAGACTATCAAACATCACGAATAAACTACGCCAGCGGAACCGTGGGAAAAAGCTAGTAAAATGTATAGATAAATTTTAATTTTCCTTCGAATTAAGTACTTTATAACAGCGGTTACCAAATGGTGATATTGACCTTATTGTTTCGTGGAAGGGTCTCAGGTGTTCCGAGTTCCGTCCGAGAGTTAAATAAAACGTTGTCAGAATTGAAGCCTAAATTTAGTGCTATTACTTATAAATAAATATGTAAAAATTTCATTCAACACGGCTGGCCGTATAATATAACATATTTTCTGCCAAAAAATTATTGACGTCCGCCGGAAGGCACTCTGCTTATATGTTTGGTCTAGACTCCGCATGCTATCAGAATTCTGACGTGCCTGACCTTCGCTTCTTATAAGTCCCGGATGCCGTCGATCGGACTTTAGAATTTTTCTGACCAGAACGTCGGAGGGCGCGCTCTATACGTTTTGTACTAGACCCCGCACCCTTATCAGAAATTCACATCAGTTGTCGAGTGGACGCCGCGAACTAAACTCTTTTTCGGACTCGCTGGATCCAAGTTTCTGATGGGTGTGCGGGGAGATATTGGGCATCAGAAATTTTCTGACAGAAAAAATCTTATATTATTATATTTTTGGTACAATAAATATTATTATAAGTATTAATATTTTTCATGTATTTGTTCTTTCAAGTTAAACAAGAAAGTATTCAAACTACAACACAATCAGTTTAGTTATTATCGCAATGTTAAAAATGTACCGTTAAAAAATTTGATCAATTAGTGTTCCAAAAAAAAATTAAGAACTTTTTTTCTCGATCTCAGTCAGTTGCCTTAGAAAGTAATACATATTGTGCACAGAATGAAGATAACGATATAAAGAAAACATTTGCAATGCTCACTGCTAATATGAAGAAAGTGTGCCAAAAAGTTGCTAGAGATCTAGAAAGTTCAAGACACATTGGTGGTTAGTTTAAAGTGCTTGAACTCTACGACACATAATGACTCAAACGATGACAGTTATATATTTTAAAAATATCTTTTGAAAAACTGTATCAATATTTATTATTTTTTTCCGTTTGTCTATTTGCCTACACGTCATTTGAAATAGCTGGACTATTTCCAATTCCACTTTCCTATTATACAGCAAATTTTGTGTCTTAACAATATTGATAATTCAATCGATTGAAATGTCAATTTTACTTATATTTTTATGTCAGACATAAACATATCTCATTATCTGGTATAAATTTCAACTTGCTAGGTCTACCTGTTCCTGAGAAAATTAGTGGTGACACACGGATAGACAGACGGACAGACGGACAAGAGAGTGATCTTATATTTCCTTTTTTACCTTTTGAGGTACGGAACCCTAAAAACTAATAATCATAATAGCTTAGCTACTTATCTATACAAATAAATTATACTAAAAAAATAAAATGTACCTAGGGACGAACCCGAGCGAAGCGATGCTGAGTCGCTAGTATTTAATAAAAATTGGATTAGTGGTTTCCTGTGACTTCCGAATTCGTGTGAAAGACAAACTAACACAACCAAATAACTTCTTCATTTCACTTATTTGCTCCTACAAATAAATGGGTTGATGAGTAAATCTTTATTTTTACATTATTTGTCATTTTCTAAACGACGACTATCAATTATAACAAAACTTCCATTGGCGTATAAAAGATTTTATCCTGGAGAAACTAAAAATAATTTTTATTATATAAAAGTGATTAGCATTTTGGCTAATTATACTGAATTTAGTTAGAGAAGAGGACAAAGAAGATACGGCAGCAACATCCTTAATGCAGCAACTAGTTCGACTCATGGCTGACTTAGTTGATATTCAAGTGCAACAGAAGACCTGCGCCAGTGAGTGCTACATATGTAATAATAAAGTCCTTCTCACTGATTTTAGTCAAAGCAATTTTACTTTTTCTTTAACTTCGTTAGAGATGTTTAAAAGTTCAGTAGGACGCTATTCGATACGACCGCTGACAAAACAGGTGCAGGATCGTCTACTTTACTTGCTCTTTGAGGTACGGTGGTGTAATATCATCGATAACCTAATTTTAGACTGCTACAAAAATTGTTTGACTGACAAACACTTGTTGCGATCGGGGACTAAAACCCAGGACCAGCAGTATATGAGTGCGAGTTATTAGGCAAAAGAAGAAGTGTATATTATATGTATAAATAACTATAATATTGGTAAAATATTGTGTGGCTTCTTTATTGTCTAAAGAATCTTTCTATATCATTTTGTCTGTTTGCAACAGTATTATACTTGGTGTGGTTTTAAAATATGTCAGAAATTTTATGGTTTTTTTATCAAATTTTTCAATCTTAATATCAAGTTTTTTAATCCTTGGTAGTAAAGGATTAAATTTAAAAAATCTTAATAGGTACATACACGTCATAGCATACCCTCCCTCAAGAACAATAATCGGAAAATAATTACATTTTTCAGAATTACCGTCAGATCTCCACGACTTTTTGGAGTGGTTGACAGTTCCGACCGATGACAACGTGGAAGTTGACAATCTGGATATGAAGTCTGGAATTCCTGATTACGTAACACCTGAAGATTACTTAAGTAGATATGGTGATTATGTTTTTTTTGGAGTTTTAACAGTTTTAAGAACTATTTCTTGTAAAATAATGGATAGCCGGCTATTATATTCACAACAACAAAACAAAAGGCCAATAATTAGGGATGGTAAGAACACATGTGCATATTTGTGTTTATCATAATTCACTTCTTTTAAATGTAAAGTATACTTATTTTTCATCAAGCTAGATCTATCATTTATGATTGAAGCTTTAATTTATCAATTTAGTATTAATATATGTATATAATTCTTCTGTACGTGTGTTTGTCACCTCACTCTTCCTAAAGGGCTGGACCGATTTGTATGAAATTTCGTGTGTATATTTCTATGCGGTCATGTATGGTTTGAAAATACAAACGGATCCGCTAGGTGGCCCTGCTTTTAGTATGTCACTGATCTTCTCCTAAACGGCAGGGACGATTTTAATGATTTTTTTGTGTATGTTAGAGTGGGTCCCTGCAAGATTTAAATTCACGGGTAGATGACGCTGCCATCGGTGTATCAAAGAGTTTGTTTTTTTGGTAGTTAAAACGCTGGCGAAGCTGCGGGTACTGCTAGTTATTTGTTTAATTTAGATCTAGTCTCAATTTAAAATCTAAAAAATATTGATTTAATGATGTGAGAACAATTTATGCTTTAGTCAAAAAGCTCAAGAATCATTAGATGATTATGAACTGTTTTTAACGATAAATAAATACTATGTAATGTTATAAAACTAAAGAGGTTTTTTTAATTTTTGTGTATTAAGTTATGCTAGACTCTAACTACTAGCCAAGTTTGATGTATTTTAAATTCTTTTTATTGAGGATGATTAAAAACTAGGTATTTAACATTTTAGCGATTATAGATTACTTAAATAACAAAATAGGTACATTTAGTAAGCTCTCGATCCAAAATTAACTCTTTTTGTTTTGTTTTTTTTTTAACGATGGGAAATGCACGCACGAGGTGTGCGACAAGAAAACCTTCCTCCGTCTTAATGGGGCGTCGCAGGATCGCTTACGCATTCAACTACGACGCCCCGACGGCAGGTCTGCCGAAGCAGACCACAACAACCACGGGGTTGCTCCAAGGTCCACTCTGCTATCGAAGAAGTACCAGGAGCAACCCGCACGGTACGCCCACCGAAGCGGGTCACCTGTGTGTTTCTTGGCTTCGGCTCGGCTGTATTGCCGGGCACTACTGAACGCCCCCACCACGACAAGGTGAACGCACGTTGGGGGGGAGGGAAATTAACTCTAATACAATGTCTAAGCTAACAAATTTCGATGACACACTGTCCTTCGTTCTAGCAGAACTGTGGTTGATGGTTTCAATAATTTTCCCACATTAGGTAAATCTACAAATCCAACCTTGGATCTTCCAACGTATAATGAAGACACCCACCAAGACGATCGGACGGAGTGTTTGGGAATTATACGATCTGTTCAAGATTTAATACAGCGGTATGAAGAAATGACGGATGAGGATAAAGTGAGTTTTTTTTCAATATAAATCTAAGTGGTTTAACAGAATCGTATAAGTAATAAATAAAAGGAAGCAAACTTAATTTACTCATACTTATTGCTCCATCGGGAAATAATATTTCACTGAACACTGAATTTGTATTATTCTTTCCATCCATAAAAGACTCTCTGTTATAAATATTAATGAGAACACAAATACTAACTTACGCACACCACATAAAGATTTTTTTTAAAACGAAACAACGTGCGTTTTAATTTTGTCACCCGAAAAGCCATTGCTTTTACTCATTAGTAAAAGAGATTCGAAAAAAGTGCACAATTCCTAATTATGCACTTCTTATTGAGGGCACTTTTGAGACGCTAACTCTTTATTTTTCAGAGTAAAATGACTGGTATAAGAGAGTATCTAGAAAACCAACTGGAATTCTTAAATAAAAAATTAAGTGTTGTAAGTGGGAATAATGTGAGTAATGCCACCGTTATAAAATCTATTCAAAATTTTTATTTAAATTTTATACGCGACCACCAGTTTTAAACTGTTTTCTATAAATACATTAAAAACCTTAACAATTGTACTTTTTGTAATTATTATTGATAAAACATTTCCAACTTAAAATCTGTAAATATACTCGTACTCGTATAATTTTATTTAAAAAAAGGTAAAAAAATTGAATCGAAAGTATCTTGTTAATACTGCTCTATATTTTTTTCTAGCTGTACAAAATATACGACAAAAGACAAATACGCAATAGAAGAAATGTACGGAACAACAAAAATCATAGACACGAAGGAATAAACAAATTTATCAAAACCTTCGGGAAAAAGCATACGAAATCGACTTTAAATACTTACGATGGAGTTACTGTAACGAAAACTAAAAATTTAAAAAATAAAAATAGTTTTAAAAATGTTGGAGTAGAGAATGTTGTAAAATATACAAATAATTAGTTACTATGTTTCTACTCACTGTTATTTCTTCAACTAGGAATATGTAGATTTGAATCTTTCAAGTATTTGTTTTGTCAGTTTAGGCTAAACCTAGTGTTTCGTCAATAAGCTTGTCAGGCAAACAAGTTTATTTGTCAAGTCAAACCAAAATATACTTAATACAAATAGACTATCACAAGCACTTTTGAAACGTCAATTTTACATTTTAAATTTAAATTAAATTTCAATATGTAAGTGTGTGAGAATTCTACCACCAGTTCGAAAAGCAGTTCTGCTCAATAGAGCCGGCGAGAAACCCAACAAATAAATGTGTTAGCTTTCACTAGGAAGTACGTAGTGATACAGTTACATTCGTGTAAAAGACGTACAGTATTCTTCAGAGACAGTGGTAGCCCAGTGGTAACGCGCTCAATTAAGAAATCGAATGAAGCGAGTTCAAATCCCGGGTCTCGCACCTCTGATCTTTTCATGTGCGAATCATTTCCAACATGATTACCACTTGTCTTAGCGGTGAAGGAAAACATCGTGAGAAAACCTGCATGTCTGAGACAAACTAGCAAGTTTTCAGAAGACATGTGAAGTCCGCCAACCCGCACTTGGCCAGCGTGGCGGACCGTGGCCTGATTCCCCTCGTACTGTAGGGAAGGCCTGTGCCGAGCAGTGGGACGTTAAAAAGGGCTGAATATATTCATACATACATACATTTTTCAGTTCAGCCAGTCTTGCTGTCAATCGGTTAGTCAATCCGTCAGTCAACTTATCAATTCTTTTTAACCAATTAGACTAAATTAATCTATAAAACTATCAATCACCCAGTCAATCGGTAAAAAGAAAAGCTAAATATAACGCATTATGTATCTCTCAATTATTATTATTATTTTGTTATATAATTTAACTTTATTTAGATTTTTAATTAGTTTTAAAATACTTTGTATTGTACGCAATATTTAGAATTTGATTTTGTTAGAATAAATTATGAAATAATACCTTCTTTTATTGCAGTTAATTTAGAACTGGCATTTTATTCATCATATAAAATTAGTTTTTATTTTATTACATTATAATATGTTTATTTTATAAGTTAATATTTTATAATAATATACAAAAAGGACTCCAAAAAAATAGAGATCTTATAGGTTTGACTACTATATCGGTCTGTTTGTTGCATATACATATGTATATGTTTCAAACTAATGAATGGATTCCGTATATATATTCCCCGTACTCAAACGCACATGTGCACCAATATTCATGGCAAGGTCAATTAATTTTTTTTGCCCTATAATCTGTCCAGAGAAACACTGGTCATAACAGCAACGAACTTATTCAAATTAGGTCAGTATTTCCCAATACGTACGTACATACATATGATACTAACAGACGCTCATCAACTTCCCTTTTATAACAAAATTATAAGATTTAATGATTTTTAATCCTTAACTTGAGAAATGAGTTGTTCCCAATACAAAGTTTTTAACAACTTTTCACCCATTTTAAGTTTCATTTTTGCAACAACAAGTTATCTGCCCTTCTCCAAGTTCCCATCCCTCTATGCCAAACTTCATCAAAATTGGTTCAGAGGCTTAGGCGTGAAAACCTAACAGACAAGCAGAATTACTTTCACATTTATAATATAAGAATAGATGTAAGACCTTGTCCAAATGTATAACGTACCAAATAAATACGGCTGTAATTTTTTTTCCCGAAGTATAAGAATTCTAGACTGCGTCATTAATAATACACAATTCGCCTGCATTTTATTACTTTCTGCAGACGCAATATAGTCGAATGTTTTCTTTAACTTTATTATTACAAAGCTGTACTGTATTCCAACGTATTTAGAATAATAACTACAGATGTTAATTATTATTTATATTTTTTATTTTATTCCTGTGCTAAGTAAATATATGCATATATAAAAAGTAGCTACTTGGGTGACCAAGCTATTGGCAAAAGTATAAAAATTACGTTTTTTTAGAAAAGACATCTACGAGTATATAAACTTGCCTAAAAACAGCATTTTATCCAAATCGTTAAAGCCGTTTCCGCGATACATGAAATTTTATATACATATGTATATAATAAGAATTGCTCGTTTAATATTAAAATATTATAGTTTAAAAATACTGAAAACCATTCTTGATCAACAAATGATTAGATCTCATTTAAGCTCAAATTAACTTAAGTAGAAGATTTTAAAGCCAGTTAAAAGTTCCACTGTCCACTTCCTGGCTGTATCAGCTCAAGGATATGGAATTATTGTCTTGTCTCATTCCCTGGTCACAAGTAAAGCATTAAACTTGTTAATTAACAATTATTACTTAACTTATGAAAGGAAAAATATTCTAATGTAATATATTTTCGGATTTTTCCGTGGATGTATTTTGAACAGCCCACCAGCCTTGTATCTAACAATCTTTATCTTTTCCTTACTGTTTAAATGCAGGCAACATTTTATCTCGTTAAAGTAAGTGAATCCTGTGAAATATTAATAGCAACGAACTCTCTCGCCCGTAGAAGAAATTCTGAAAAGCTAAACAAGCTCACCTATGTATATCTATACATAGTATAAAACAAGACTCTGTGCACATCGTAAGGAAACCTGCATGTCTGAGAGAACCAAGTTTTCGAAAGATATGCTCATTAGTCCGTCCGCCCGCACTCGCCCAGCGTGGTGGACTATGGCATTGTCCCCCTTATGGTAAAGGGACGTGTAAAAGGGCTGGATACGTGTATACAAATGAGATATCATTATTATATTATTATTATTATTACTTTACAACAACTTTGACTTTAAGTGAAGTTACGTCTATGACGTATACGCTGTAACGTAAGCTATTTTTGTAACGCTTAAGTGAACTAGCAGACAGAACCGAGGACAACGCTAGTTTTATATAATTTTAATTTCAACATCTCAAGTACAGAGAAGTAATAAAACCACTGCAAAAGAATAATATATGTTGAACATTCTGATATGACTTTTATTGGCAGTTAACTCGTTTCCAGACGAAAATAATTTTTAGAAACTCTTTATTTCGTTACAAATTAAAAAGCTGTTAGTATTTTGCTATTCAATGTAAGTAGAGTTTATAACCTATTAAAGTTTGTATGTGTACGTTTGTTACTCCTTCATGATGTAAAGGCTGAACGAATTTTGATGAAATTTCATACACAAATAGAATACGGCTTGCAATAACACTTTCAGTAATAAAATTTGCATATTTATAGTGAAATTATTATTATTTATTAAAGTATTTTAAAGACATTAATTCTTTTCAATACACAAAGTCAACAGTCCACCAAAAAGCTCAAATAACTGACTAACAAATATGTTACTGAAAAACTTACCTATCACCTGAGTGCAAACATGCAGACACATTTCGTATACAGCTCGAAGCTCGACAGTCGACATCAAATTTAAATATATATCGCTGTACGTGCTCACTCATTACCTTGTACAGGCTGATTGAAATTCCAAAAAAAAATTATTGACTTCAAAATAAAGGCAATTCAATTCCATTCAATGCTTTCAGTTCAGGGATTCCTAGAAGTTTCCTTTGGGCATCATTTACTTCGCCTTCGCGTAGAATTAAGAAGATACGTTTATAGAATGATCATTAATAAAAGAAGAAAAAAACAAAACAATTCTTGTGATTTTAAATAAAACTATCTTTTCGGATTTTTTCGCGAATTTATTTTGATTTTTGGTTCCCGACATTTCGAATGTTTTACAGCAATGTTTCACGGCAGAGACTCAGGTGTTAGATGTCTCTAAGGTATTATATAGTTGTTACAGACAGCCTCGGTGGTGTAGTGGCTAGCATGTACGGCTGCACACTCGGAGGTCCTGGGTTCGAGTCCCGGGTCGGGCCAAGTTTAGTTATTGAGTCTTTCTGTATAGTAAGTCTCAGTACCAGTCCGGAGTTGGGAAGTTGGCGGTGTTTCACCCCCGTGCCTCGGAGAGCACGTAAAGCCGTCGGTCCTGCGCCTTAACTCTCACTGGTCGTGTCGAGTGTTCGTCCCACTAGAGTATGAGAGTGACAGGTATAGAGAGTGCACCTGTGTCTGCGCGTAAACTTGTGCACTATAATATCTCCTGCGCAGTTGGCTAGTCTAAATGAGATTGGCCGCCGTGGCCGGAATCGGCTAGGAGAACATCATCACAGACAGCCTACCCACAAATAACAAAATGAATTAAAAAAATTGAAAAATGGCACTAAAGTACCTTACAATATTTTAACTTTAAACATTTTTAAATAATTTTAATTAGCTTTATAATTGAATATGGAACATTATTTATTTAATTTGAGCTGTTATTATTATAATTATTACAATTTTAAAAATATTAATTAGTAATCTACATTTTTAGTGTTGCCATTGTTATATTTATAACCATAAAGAAAATCATAATATATTAATTATTACCACATAATTAAAAATAATATTAATTTAAATTTGCTATTATTTAAAAACAAATTATTAAGCAACACATTACTACATACATTTACAAATGAAAAAGTGAAAAATATTAATCAGAAATGCTATCATTTTGATCTATACAATAAGAACTTACTACATCTACTA